GGCGTTGATGAAGAATATACTTATCGAGAGCTAACACTACCTAGTATTGCTTTGTGACTCCGATGTTCTACCAACTGGCAAACTGATAAAGTTCCTTTACAGTATTATAAACGCGTCAATTTTAGGTAAATTAGCAACTTAAACATATTTCAATCACTCGACAGTTATTCGAAGCACTGTAAATGTTTATAGTAATCAAACACTTACCTATCGATTATTTTAGCACGTTAATTTTCGTTTAGAAGCACTGTTAAAAACATGACGGAATCCAATGGCAGGTGAAAGGAACGTACACATCATTTCGAACATAAATCGATCACTGGTCATCCCGAAACTGGTTTTAACACATTCCTCGCACATTTATCGATTTTTTGAGACCTCATTCGACATTCTCCAAAACGGCAGTTACTGCGTTAAGGTGGCCCAGAAACAATTGGAAGCGCTCACTTTGCAGACCTTCAGAAGAAAATATATAGCGGTGCCGCCATTCAAGTTGCCTTCCGCAGGTACGTACGCCGATTCCGTCCTCGAATCTCTTTGCTGGAGCCCGCTATTCCAAAACGCGCGTTTTTCCCCTCGACCCGCGACCTCTCCACGCACAATTTTACGTTTTGCTCTATCTCTCACGGGTTAGGTGGTAAAAGGCCTTAAAGTTGGAAAATGCGAAAAACCCGAGTTTCGCGAGGGGCAGTCGAATTATCCCCCGAATCCCATCGCCGCACAAATACGCTCTTCCACGTCCTCCACGATCTCCAGAAAACCGAAATTGGATACTGGAAGTGGCCATTTTTTAACCGCGCCCGCGCACCTCGACGTAGATGCTCCACAGCCGCTCCGGGACATTTTTGATCTACCGATTTTTTAGTATCGTTGCGAAATAGTTTAAAGAAATGCTAATAAAAATTTCAGCAAAATCGGTAAATTTTTAAAGAAATTAAAAATGAAAATGCCCGAGTTTACTATTTAAGGGAGGATGGCGATTACCGATTGGTTACGGAAACACGAACTGCCATTAAAGGTTAAAATAACCTGCTGTTTGCAGAACCAGCCTAATTCTGGCCTCACTGATAGGTGTAGTAAACTTTTTACAACTCGGAAATGCTCCAATTTATGTTCATGAAATGATAAAATTAAAATATAAAGTAAAATACAACAGAAGCAAGCAAAAGGAAATAATTAATCTGTTCAGCTAAATTTTGTATAATTTACGTTAGCTCTTTGCAGATTTGGGCCAACTTAATTCCAATTACACATAAATTGACGTTAGGCGGACGCATGTTTACCTACGCTAAATCCACGCGTCCATTGTATAGGAAAAATTGAAATTGAAATGATACTTCATTGTATCGATAGTATAATTAAGAACACTTCGTTAATCGTATTCTTTCCAAAGCAAGTTTTATTATTAACTGATTGTCCAAGCTACAAAGTTGAGACATAATGTACCTACAAGCAATGAAGTTAATAAACCGCAATGAAAACTTTATGCTATTGAAGGGAAATGCTTAAACTTGTTAGGCACTTCGCTAACTTTCCATTTAGAACTTTGAGAATTTTGCGCTTGTAGTTTATTTACTAAGTGTACGGGAGTAAAGTAAAAAGATTGTTGCATTCGAGATTAAGTTTGTCTAAAGATAAATCTCAACAAAAAAGTCTTTAGTCTCACATAATAATCTACACGAGATTAAAGGTTTATTACTTCGAAATTCTACACCCGAGTTTAGGCCAACTTTATAACGATGAACGGGAGCAAAAAAAGATTGATAAGTGATCTTGTTACGTCAGTACCCACCTACTTAAATAAAACACATAAGATTTTATTAATGAGCAACGAGACCCACATAATGAACTTCTAAGTTGGAAGATAAATTCGGTCTGTGTTAATTAACAATAACAGATTTTAATTAAAATTATAAATTTAATTACGAACACTAAGCTAAGCAAATAAGTTCAAGCTTATATGCACAATAGTACAGTCGTTCTAAATTGAGGTTTTTATTTAATTTTTGCCGATGAAAAGAGTAGAAATTCTGCTGATTAACGTATCAAAACATGCATCTCCAAAACTGACCGCTAATATTTTTAACCGTTAATTTATAACTCGCGGTGATCATTGATCATTTATATGTGTAACTATTCTGGTTCTACTGATTATCGAGTCTAGTAGTGCATGCTATCCGAGGACAGGTATCAATCCATGCAGGAACTCTTCGTTAGGTTTTCACCCTTTTAATTCCACAAGCATTAAGTAGAAAGACTTCGAAGAGAGTGTGGTTGCCCAAACTTTGTTCGGGCTTGTTCTCAGATGCGAAACCAATTCCTTTATTGGAACACATTATTGTACTCGTGTACAATGTTTCATGCGATATTTGTCACAACTGACACGTGAACGACATCGTCGGCCGTCGCGTCGTTTTTCTGCAAATCTCAATTTATCAGCTTCTTTACACGTATTCGAATGATCTGATTCTTTGCAAAATACACATTTTCTAGTACTTTTATTGAAATATTAATAGTTGAGCTTTGGTCATTTTCTTATTAGCTTTAAAAGATAATCTAATGTGATCCTTTCTGTGTTCATTACGTCCTGTTTCAATTACTCATTAAGTCATTAAGACGGTAAGAGACGGTGCGTAAGGTTGAATTCTGTTGAATAATTTTTACTTCTGCAACGCTTATAATATCCTGTGGTTCTACCAAAGGGCATCGAATTTTAACCCACAGCTTTCCAATGCTGTTTTGGTTGCTTGTAGCAGATACTGTGGCATGTCTTCTTGTATGTCAAGTCGTAAATTAATTCCAGAATTAATCAACCTTTAAGGAACCCATCAAATGTCTGAATTCTAATTGAGAGATGTAACGGTAATCCTAATTAATTAATTTTCAGAATACCACCATACTGAGATTTTAGGATAATTCTTCGGAAATAGTCATCGACTCGTTTGCTGGATACTCCCCTCCAGACCCCCCGGTTCTACGCTTTCTGCGGTACGGAGAAGAGAATCTCATAATTCTTCCGCAGTAACTGTCCTGAAGCCTAAACGGTTTGGCAAAAAAGGTGGTACCGGGGGGCCTGAGGGGTACGGAATAACTCCCAGTAGAGAACAGTTCCATTGCCATTTCCAGAATACCACCATAAGAGTACTGCGGTTTTAGCATAATTTTTCAGAAATAGTCATCCAATGTTTCGTCGCAAGATGTTGGGGATTTGGATCATGTTATTTTAATTGGATTACAACTGCGAATCCGGCATGAGGCCATTTCACCATGGTAGAAACAGCAACGTAGCATATGTTGGTCGTGTTGGGAATGATTATGATGTAGTACCTTTTATTTGTTGCGTAGGGTGGGAATTCAGCAAACGAATCAACGATTAAAGATGGCCGTCTGCGTTAATAAGAAGCAATTTTCTAGACAGTTTTTCAATTAATAAGGAAGAAAATTTTGCGGCTTAGTGGTTAAGCACGCGACCAATGCGTACTCCTTCGAGAGAAATTAAAATTTATCAATTCGTTTTTTGGTCATCAGTGCGACCAGTTACTTTGCGATTTAAAATTTTTCATCTGAACTACGGAGAGTTTAAAGGATAATTCAAGCTCGTGGCTTACCATTGGGATCTCCTTTGCCTCCATTTGGCCTACACTGTATCTCTCACCGTTCCGGAGATCCCAATAGTGAGCCACGAATTTGAACCACCCTGTACATTTGAAAATAAAATGTAAAATCAGATCGGAAACGATCAAGGAACCAAATAGTTTTCGTCGCTAAGTAAATTTATGGGGAATTCATCAAGGACAGTAGTCAGGGTTTTTCGGGCATAATAGAAAACCCTTACTGAGAAAATTCGAGAGTGAACTTTTAAATTGGAGGAAATTTCCGCGTGTTTTACAGTAGAACCATTTAATAATGTCTGGAAGTGGATTAAGGGACTGTGTCATTTATGACACCATAAAGCAACCACAGGACTTAATTGTGAAATATCTGTGTTTTCAACACATAAACTGGAGGCTCGTTCGGTCAAGTGCACATTTATTAAACGCGCTGGTCCTGGCGCTGGTTTAGTTTTCGTTACAAAAACAATTTATTAACGAGTGACCTAGATCGTTCATTATTTTAGACCTTCTGACCGTCCGTCCGTCTGTGTGCACGATAACTCGTGAACGGTCTCGAAATTTCCAATTATGTTTCCAGTATTATGTTCGGATCAGATTATTGCATTTTCTTTAACTGTACATACTGCAATTCAGTGCATTTCGGTCATAGGTCTATTCAAAAAACACGGGCGCGGGCCCAGTTTGTTTCAGGAATCTCCACTTGGTGTCAGTATCTTCTCACAGATCAGTTGATTATAAGGTAAATATTATTAAAGCAGATGAGCGCCATAATAGTACATTATATATCAAGGTAGAGAAGTCAACTATTATTGCCTGAGCACCAAGATTACATCTCGAGGCGCTTGCGCCGAGGGGTGTAAGGTGCGAAGGCAATAATAGACTTCTCTACCGTGGAATATATACTATTTTTTTCACTACTAGCACTTGAAATCCTCTAAATTAACATATTATATTGATAAGAGAGTTAACGGTTGGACAGAATTGTTTGTTTCTTAATTTAACATGTCAATCAAGTACGTGGAAGTACAAGTCAAACAGGCCGTATTTTGTTCTGTCATTGAGATTTTTCAAAGAGTAATTTCGTTCGAATTTTTTCAAAATGTGATAATTTTAGGTATGTAATTTCCCTGGAAATTGCGAATGGTGGCAATTATTCGTTTTAGAGAACTTGTCTAAACGTTCATTGAGCGAAATTTCGGGTTGTGTTTTCTAAAAGTGACAGCGTGACAGTTCTCATTATTGACTACTAGTTAATAATAAAAAATTATTAACCACTTTGAACAAATGCCGAGAAAGCCTACTTTACAAGTGGAAAAAAGGTTAATAATCATGTCATCAGACGCTAGTAGTGAAAAAAATAATTTAAGTCCCTATGATGCGTGACGAAGTCACCACCCTGTATAAGATACAACTCTGTGGCTCGGCTATCCTTGCATTTGCGGTAACCTAAAATTGAGGTTAGCCAAACTTTACCCTCAACTTTTTCTTTAGAAATGGAGTGTTCGGATTTTAGCGAATTTCAGGTAGCTGCCCTTATAATATTTACACTTAATGAAATCGTAAGATTCAATAATTTAATTAATAAGTTTTACATTACGTTTAACAAAAACATTCGAGACCGACAACCTCCTGTCCTAATGCCGTTTTGTTGAATTTCAAGGAAACGTTGAAAAATATGCGTAGAGTAGATGATATCATTATAAACACCCTCAATTCTGTTATTCCAACGGACTCGTTTAATCCAGATGCGGCTAAAGCTTGTAAAGACTTACATAATCAGTTAGTTGAAGGAAACCAACATAGAAAAAGTGCAATAACAAAGTGTATAAATTTATCTGCTGAAAAACTGAAACATTTTCGAGAGCAAAGGGATACTGATCCTAGTACTGATCAATCTTTAAAGTCGAGAAACTTGCTCAGAGCAGAACAAACGAAGGTAATTATTGCCAAATGGTGAACTGTTATATTTAACTTAATTTTAGTTACGAATGTTGCAAGTTGAGTTGAGTGTTGAAGATTTGGTTGAAGAACGCAGTTCAAAAGTCTTTCAAGAACGATGTCGGAAGTACTACAAACCATCCTAATAATTTGAATTATGCGTAGGTAGTATAATATAATTGTTTTGTATTCAATTTGAAGTAATCTACAATATACAACTTTACAAAAAAATGTACAGATGCTCCAGTTCTTATTTGTTTTCCCGGTGTTCCTCATGCCAATCCAGATTTCTCTTGTGCAAAGTGTCTCCTCGATCACGTGCTTTCTTTCCCATATACACCATAACTATACATCCCAATAAGGTCAGTCCAATGGAATAGTTAGAAATACGTACACGCATCCAACTACGGGCTCTTTCCATAATCTCGGGTCTGTAATCCAGGGGGGTTTGTTATAAAAAAACATTTCCAATTAAGACTTACTTAACAAAACTAGGCACATCATCCACACTTTTGTATTTCCCCATCCATACTAAAATGCGCCTTTCAAAGTTATTCACTTTGTAAGTTTCATTTGGAAGTCGCTTTATCTCTTCCTCTCGAACAACAGAGCTGGTGCTAAAACTGTATCCCTTAAATAGGGACGATTTTCTTGAAGTATTTTTTAATAATAAAAACATAACGAGCTATTTTTGAATCAACTTGCTATATCTAAATTCGAGTCTAAATTTAAATTACATCTGCATACATACAAACGATAAACAGATTCTCATGAAAATCACCTTCACTTATAAGGTGACGATAGAGTATAACAGGCAGCATTCAATGCAGGCAGGTAGATGCATATCTATTCTGTTGTAAATAATGTAAATGACGTCACATTTTCTTGGGACAAATATACAGGGTGTTTTAAATTGAGTAGGTTAACATAGCTATCTTTATTATTATATTTACAAATTCGGTTAAATTGGCAAAGTTGTGTAGTTTTTAATGCTAATGGACATTCCAATTGCGATATGTTCAAAAAATAAATCGTTTCCTAGCTAATTGGAAAAGTGAAAATCGCCATTTTTCATAAATCTACAAAAGTCATGGCTATTGCTACTAATAACAGAAATGTTGAAATTTATTTTTAAATTTGGGGGTATATCAAAAGCTTAATAAAACATGTAAAAATAGTTTTGTATGCACCTTTTAATTCTGAACAACTTTAAACTCTACAGTTTGTAATGTACCCAGGCCAGTCCCGAGAGACTGCGCAACTCGAGATTTAAATTCAAAAATTTCCCTCCCACACTAACTGAACCCCATGGCACGTGATCGTCTAGACAAAGCTACCTAACCTGAATAACCGTTGTGTTTTTAACAGTCGCTACAAGATATGTATTGCTTGTCGGAGTGAGGACCAAGTAAGGAATGCAAATAAAACAAGTACATGCTTTAAAAACGGAGATTTAATCCAAAGAATTTGCATTGCAATATTAAATTTAGAAAATGGTAGTTCACGGAGTACAAATATAACAATAGGCTGGGAAAAAAAGAACTGACCAAGAAAAAACCCAGCAAACAAATTAATATTGAACTTTATAGCAAAATTAGTTGTCTGTAATGGCATGAATGCATATTATGATCATATTGAATCACAGGCTCCGCTGGAATTCCTATTTTACACACATAACAAAAACAATTATTAAAACATTACAATAAATTCATATAATAGGTTTGGATATTGGATGGCCAGTCCAAATCCCACACCGAGTAGTCTTTAGTTGCTCTGGTCATTACATGTCAACATTGTATATTGTATCGCTAGGAGTTGGCCTCTCAGAAAAGCCTTTCACAAAGGAAGGATAATTGATAACGCAAACAAAAGGTCACAACGAGAACACGCCGCACGCTTTTAGCGAATCCCTGCACAAGTGAGGCCGGGCTTAGCCGGCAGCCCCATGTACGACTAGCGGGACCCCAACTCTTTCATTCACACATCTCTAGGGCAAGTCCAACCCACTAGTCTCATAGCGTTTTCGATTGGCAAAACTCGTACTGCACGAGTGTTGCACGAGATACGGAAGAAATCCATGTGAAAATTGCTCTCAATAGAACATAAATATTCGTAAATATTTATTGTCATTTGTCCATAACCTCATTTTAGATTTAGGTAATCGACAAATCTCTATTCTAAAAAATGACAAACGATTTCAATTTATGATAAACGATGAGGAATATAAATTTGAAATTCCTGTAAAGGACCAATTTTTGGCGTTCAGTTTAATGAGTAAGTGCAACTTTTTGTAAAATAGAAGTTATGGCTAGTTCATCATCTTCGCTATCGCTAGATGACGACAAAAAACTCTCCCAACGCAAGAAACACATTCAAATTGTCGCACGTTTGTTTTGAAAATTTGTTAACTAGCAGCTCCACGAGCTCTCGGACCTCGTGCGTCGAAATTTGCACTGAGTGCGTAATTGTTGCATCACATTTCCCAATGGAACACAGAAAATTGCCCTAAAATTACCAATAGAACGTAAAAATTGCACTCGTGCAGCACGAGTTTTGCCAATCGAAAACGCTATTAAAGTGCCGGGTTATAAATCATATATACAGGGTGATTCCTATAGTACCTGCCACCGTTTGGGAGCGTATAGGGGGTGCCTAGGGGAGTATTTTGATATAGGACACTTGGGGTCGGAAATCTAAAATAAGGCCGCCAGAACCAAATTTATCTTCTGGAATTTCACGCCTGTATGTAGGCAACCCAACCGACCGACGTTTCGCGCGGAGCGATGCAGAGCCAGTTAGCGCGAGGAAGCGACATGGGAGGGAAGGAGGGAAAACGACAGTCAAAAGCAATAACGTTTACAAGTGTTCAACGTGGCCACCGTTGGTTCTCAATGCACTTCCTACATCTAGCCAACTATTATTATACTATTGCCATAGTGTTTATTCACTTGATACGCGTCGTTGCAGACGGGAATTCGTGGGTTTAAACAAAATTCTGATCAAGTGTCAGCCACACATCGCCGCCTGAGATCGCTCCGTGTGCACCGCCGGCCGGTTGGGTTGCCTACCTACAGGCGCGAAATTCCAGAAGGTAAATTTGGCTCTGGCACCCTTAATTTAGATTTCCGACCCCAAGTGTCCTATATCAAAATACTCCCCTACGCACCACCTACACGCTCCCAAACGGTGGCAGGTACTATAGGAATCACCCTGTATATAAGAGAAGATAAATTACCGAACTCCATCTCTCTCTACCATGAGTACTGACAGTAACTGATCAAAAGACTAATCATGACATAACAAAAATCCAATGAATACAAAAATCACAGAGTAACCAACGGCAAACTCACACGCATACTATTCATTGATAATTATAAACAAAATAAATAATTTATGTAGGCGTTGGCAGTTGACATATTTGCACTGGCATAACAAAGACCGACACAAAACCAATATTCGGTCACTACATGTCAGGAATCGACTGATCGGATTGATTAGCAATATCGGCAAGATGGCTCTTTCCAAAGACACAAAAAACAGTACATAAAATACATACCTATCTCTGCGTATGTCAGCCTCTGCTACGTCAAATCGAGATATTAAATATGGGTATCAAATATTAATATCAGATATAGCACAGTAAATGTTCGAAACAAGTCACCCAGCCAAATATTAGGTAATAATCATAATCACCCGGTTCAAATAAATAGTAGGAGCATAACTTTTAGTACTATCACATTACAACAATACAAAGGAACATGTCGTGGTAAACATTGGTATCAAGTAATTAATTCACAATGCCAAGTGCAATATGTAACAACCAACCACCCAACGTACGTTACTCGCCCCCAAATGAGGCACCTTAGACGATATAGTACATGGACTGCTAGTAGCCCTATGCTTTCAATACAAAATGGGTGGTCACGGATAGAGGGCAATGTAGTCGTGGGTATGTGAATCTCAGGGTAAACTAAAGCTGTGTAAACACCACTCGGATCGCGTAAAGAGCAACTTTTATAGTAACCGTGATTATCTTCTATACGTCCACAAATAAGAATAGGTTTGCTTTTTTTGCCATATCTAGACGATTAATTAATTGACGTTTGTTAATTTATAGGTTGACAGTCTCAAATCGTGTCTCATCGGACAATTTCGGACAGACTCGTTTACCCTGAAACTCACATACCCAGGCGATGTCCTTGACCATATTTTAGTTACAATTAGCAGTCCATGTAGGTACTATATGGTCTAAGTGAGGCACCCTGTAATACACAGTAACATATTCAGGCAAACAATAGCGAAATGCCCTGCAATAAATTCAATTATAAATTAAAATGTACCTAGTTCTGCATACTAGGTATTGAATATCGCCCCAAACCGAAAGGGAACATACTGTGTCTAAATATGAATAAAAACACGTAAATCAGATAACATATTTATGTAGAATCTCTATTCTAGTATGACCATAGTGCAAGTTGTATCTAGAATAGAATGTGTTATAAATGGCAACAATAATGCTGTACGAGAATAACATTAAATTGGCAAATAATCGAACACGTACATATCATTATTAGATGGATGCAATAGACGTAGAGATAAAAAAAAATGCGTACATCACCTTGGTAATTGTCGAAGCTGCACTCACTATTCGAAACGTAAAGATGTACCTCTGCTCTCAACAAAAGCACACATACTTCTGCCCCTTTTTTTTAAACAAATCCTAGACGAAAATTGTTAATATGGCCGTGCTCCGAGCCGTCGGTCGATATCGATCATTAAGTCCCCTCGCATAGCTCGCATAGCGTAATATTTGACACTTTTATTGTAAATTATGGCCCATTTCAATGTAGAGCAGAGAAGAAAAAAACACGTGTTCCACGGGAACGAAACAAAGCGCAACTTTGACTTTTTTCGTCGCGCCAGGGTTAGTTTCGGGAATATTTAAATCGAATTTTTGCGGGCTAATTCGGTTCCATCACAAGTTATTTCTGTAAAATGTACAGGAGGGCAGGATATTGCATAAAACTAATTTCCCATGTTAAATCCCTATGTTTCTACTTACCGTGCACTACTCGGTATATCAAGGTAGAGAAGTTCAGTACTATGCGATCGAAAATGAGTTACTGTCGAGTCGCCTTTGAAATTGTTGTTCACATAGAATAGTTATTTATGCAATGAGTGTATAAATGAGGCGTTTTATTGGTGAGTGAGATGTTTAGTCCACGAGCGCAGCGAGTGGA